TTAAACAAAGATCTGTTCTCTTCCTGGAGAACTTCAAACTGATTCTTGAGAAGATTGTTGTCATTCTCAATTGTTTTTAAACATTCAACCTCTGCCTTAAGAATCCTGGATTCATCTTGTAAAGACTTTATCATATTTCTATTATCAAACCACATAGTACCAAGGAAAACTACGAATCCCAGAAAGATCCATAGATGTGGGATGACAGACACCTCCTGTAAAATCTCCCACATGGTACACTCAAAAAGGCTGTTAAAGTCTCGAATGGTAACACTTTCAGACATTTTATTTATAAAAGAAAATTTTTTTTTACCTGCAATGACCGGTTCCTGCCAGTGGTGGCGAAAGAGTCCACTTGAGTCCACATGGCTGAAGTCTGAAACACTTGACTCAAAACCGAAAATTGGAGCAGACACCAGACTGATAAATAGCAATTGCGGGGGAAGGCCAGGAAGCCCGGCAGAGCCAAGGCCAAACTAAGCCACCCTCGGGGAGGGGACGCAGAGCAGCGCTGTCAGGCAGGACGGGGCCTATTCCAAACCCCTGGGGCTAAGTCTCCCGTCCCATTTGCCGACTTTTTAGCAGGCGCCAGGAAAAATCGAGTGGCTGTAGATGTTCAGGGACTCAGAATCTCAGCTGCTTTTGCCGCCGTAAGTCGGGCAGAAGTGAACCGGCAAGGAGCAGTGCTGAGAGGGTACAATCTGCACGAAGAGAGAGGCCTCCAGAGTGGGGGTGCCGCTGGCTCCCAGCAGTAGCCCCCAGGAGGCTCTGATTCGGGGTGGGTATCCACAAAGCCCCACATTGGGCGCCAAGATGTAGCAGCGTAAATGAATACAGACAGATTGTAAAAAATATATACAGCTTTAATGGTGGAAATAGACTTACAGTACCACAGTTCCCGCGGAGAACAGGAAGCAGAAGGGGCGGCTGGGCACATGCCCAGCAGATTTATAGGTAAACATTAGCCTGAGGCAAACACGCCCCCTAAGGCTGGGCTTAACCCTACATATAGGGACACACGTCGACACATAGAGGCTCCTGCTGGAGAGGGCAGGGAAGGGACTGCAAAGCCACCAGAGCCACTGGGCCAAAACTGGTCATGGGAAGATGGCTCAGTAGCTAAGAGCACATGTTGTTCTTTCAGGGGTCTCGAGTTCCATTCCTAGCACCCGTGTCAGGTAGCTCATCACCACCTGTAACTCTAGAGGATCCATCAGCACCTGCATGTGTACACACACACACACACACACACACACACACACACACAAATTTTATGAAATGGAAGTATCTATCTACCTCACAGTCCTGGTTTGGCTTCTGGGTCTACAACACAAGGAGCTGCTCACCTGGCCTGAAGCACAAATAATAAAAACTCAGGGTCATGGGTTCAACCCGAACATCTGAAAAGCAAAACAGCCAGCCATTGGCTCTTTCCTCAACCTCAGTCTGAAAGGGCGATTCTGCCTCCTGGAATCTCAGAAGGAGACTGTATGTCTGAGAGCTGTCTCCTCCCATTTTATAATCCTCTCTAGGGCTGGGATTAAAGGCATGCACTGCCCAGTTTCTATGGCAACTAGTGTGGCTACTGAGATTAAAGGTGTGTGTCATTGTGGCTACTGAGATTAAAGGTGGTGTTACCATAACCTGGTCTGTAAGGCTGACCAGTGGGACTGTTACTCTCCATCTTCAGTCAGTCTTTATTTATTAAAATGCAGTTAAAACCCACTACACCGGCCCATGAGGAACAAGGACAGGGATGCTGACATAGATGGCCGGGTGAGCATATGGTGGAGACTACATAGGAATTCCTCAGAGTAAGCAGTGTGGGAGTGAGGAGACATGTAGGAGACATGCAGGCTGGTAGCACGCAGACGGTCATCACATGGCTCTGCAGGGCAATCTCAAAGGCAGTGTGGTATCTCTGTCTTAGTCAGGGTTTCTATTGCTGCGACAGAACACCAAGACTAAAAAGCAAGTTGGGGACGAAAGGGTTTATTTGGCTCACACTTCAGCATTGCTGTCCATCACTGAAGGAAGCGAGAATGGGAACTCAAACAGGGCAGGATCCCGGAGGAGGAGCTGATGCAGAGGCCATGGAGAGGAGCTGCTTACTGGCTTGCTTCTCATGGCTTGCTCAGTGTGCCTTCTTATAGAACCCAGGACCAGCAGCCCAGGGCTGGCACCACCCACCATGGGCTGAGCCCTCCCCTTGTTGATTATTAACTGAGAGAATACCTTACAGCTGGATCTCATAGAGGCATTGCCTCAAATGAGGTTCCGTCCTCTCTGATGACTCTAGCTTGTGTCACGCTGACACACAAAACCAGTCAGTACAACCTCCTTATTAAAATATCCCTTCTGAATTGAAGCATTCCCTCCCGGGGCAGTGGGAGGAAAAGGGAGACTCTGGACTCTGGGGACTGGGAGAATAAACAAACCTTACAAGCCTGGAGAGTTGAAACTTCCAGAGTCCCGTGATATGGAGGCAGCGAACCGTCCCTCCCTCGGGAGGAAAGATGCAGAGCTGCCTACGGAGAAGGACCAGCAGGACCAGCTCAGCTACCTGGAGGAGAGCCTCCCTTGTGTCTCCAGGAACTCCCGGGCTTGCAGCAGTCGTGACATTCTCCCACAGGTGGGGTGGGCTTTGTAGAGATTCACAAGCTCCTGGGAACTACCCCCTGACCCACACTCAGATAAATAACCGCTAAACTCACCAGCTCACCAAGCTGGACTTGGGTGGAATTGTTACTTGGGTCATAGGCCACCTATTTGGGGTGGAGAGACATTTGTCACTTATCTCCCCAGGAACAGTCTCACCCAACAGGCAGTGGTGAATGATAAAAGAAAGTGGGAGAGAGTTATTTCAATTAAAGCCGCAGACACCAAGCAAGAGTGCCCCTTAGTGAGAACAGAGATATGGGACACACTGTGGAATAACTGTCTGTTGGGGGATGGGAGTAGGATTTGGGGGCGGGGCGGGGGGTAAAAAGGAAGAAGGTGGAGAATTCCTGCAGGAGCAGAAGTGGCTTCAGGGCATGAACTGAAGTGTTGGAAACTTGCTCCCCCCCCCCCCCCCCACACACACACCTACTACCATTATGGTCTCACAGAGGCCACTGCCCTCTGGGCAGCCCAGACACGTGGGGCCCAGGGAAGGGCTGGCTCTCGGGAGGGAGGCTGAGAGGGGCAGTTGGCCTGGTACATGGGGCCTCTGGCAAGGTGGCTGTACAGTGGCAGGGACCTTCCCCCAGGACAGGGTTCAAGACGATCCGGGATTCTGAGAGCACCCCATCCCAGCAGGATGCAGTAGCAGGCACCTTTCCCCCAGGACAGGGTTAGAGATGCTCTGGGTTCTGAGAGCACCCCATCCCCTCACAGCAAGTGTCAGGCACACTCCCCAGCAGTGACTGGGATGTTTCATTTGTCCCCCAGGCAGCTCCTTCTGGTCTCCTAAGCTGGAACTGAAGCCACCATGGAAGGTGCATCTGTCTATAAAGAAGCAGTGGCTGGGAGGCCCATTGGCAGCTGGACACAGAAGCCTAAAGACAAAAATCTTAGCACAGCTGTCAGGAGAGTGAAAGCAGGGGAGCTGGGGCCCGTGGAGGACAGTTAATACTTCTGTGATTGTAAACAGCCCTCCATGGTTTGCCTATACCCCCTTGTCTGCCCACAAGAAGGATGGAGGCATACCTCACCCATCCTTGTGTGTTTCGGTTGTCGGTGTGGTGAAAGGGGAGTGGGTGGGGAAGGCCTGCGTTGCATGTGTGAACCCGCAGGTGTGTTAAACACAGCTGCTCCACACGTGGCTGAGGCAGAGGCGCTCCTTAGACACTCTTCGTTTTCACACAGGAAGAAATCGAGACCAGGGTAGAGAGTTATCCAAATATTGCCCAACAAGTTACCCATGAGCTGAGGCAGCTCTTGACCTTGTGGGTGTCTGCATAGTGATGCAAATAACCCAGAGGTGGTTCCCCTGCAAGCAGCTGGCCACCTGTAGCTCGTGTAATCACCCCAACGGCTGGAGTTTATTATTTGTGAAAGAACATTTAAGTAAAACCTACCAGGCTCTCCGTGCACCTGTTACTTCACGCTATCAGATCCTGATACATCTTTCCTCCTGTCAACAACTTTGCCAGACTTCTAAGCCCTGGGTTTAGAAACAGGGATGGGATGACCTTGTTTACCCAAGGTAGCCCAGGTAGTGAAGACAACTGTAGATTCAGACAGCCAGGCCTCTCCACAGGTGGCACTGCCTCCAATGTACCACCCTGCCCACTTCTAAATCCACAGTTAGACTTCCCAACTAGCTATTTCTGAAATGGGAGGAGGTTTGAGCAAGTACCTGCTTACCCATGGTGCGCTCTAGGTTGGGTACCACTGAACCAAGTACTATCCCATGGCTTGATGCACTGTTATGGGGATGCTGCAATGATGCGCTCCAGGTTGGGTACCACTGAGCCAACTGCTATTCCAAGGCTTGATGATGCACTATTACAGGAATGCTGCAATGATGATGTGCTCCAGGTTGGGTACCACTGAACCAACTGCTATCCCATGGCTTGATGATGCACTGTTATGGGAATGCTGCAATGGTGTGCTCCAGGTTGGGTACCACTGAACCAACTGCCATCCCATGATGCAGTTATGGGGATGCTGCAGTCTGTTTGACTTGACACACATACAAGAGTGAACCTCATCAATAAGCCTGCAAGCTTTCCCGATGCTGTCAGCACATGGCGGGTGTGGATTTCATGTGTGTATAAAGGGCTACCGTGTGGGAATCGGAAGCCAGGCTAGTGCTGCTATTATTAGATTATTTTTCTGTAGAGAAGGGAGGCAACCACGGGAGAGGTGAGAACCACAGCCTACTTAGCCTAGACTGTCCTACGGGAGACATCAGTCAAGCCAGCCATGAGCTGAAAATACAGACAGGATGATACTAGTGACTGTAGAGGAGAGTGGTTAAAAACGTATATCACACTGGTGAGGTGGCTCAGCGGGGGACTTGCCACCAAGCCCGACAACCCGAGTTTAATCCTTGGAATATACAGGGTAAAGGCAGGAACTCACTCCCACAAGTCCTCTGACCTCCCCATGCTCAGCACAATCTGTGAATATTACATAAGTGAACATAATTACAATGTTTAAATGTATAACATTTATTATGCACTTTATAAAATTAATAAGCACAAAATAAGGAAATGAACATAAGTGAAGATAAAGTTTGTTATATTCATAAATGCCGCCTGGACTTCCATTTCACTCACATGTACAGATGCACTAGACAGGGAAGGTTCTGTGAAATAAAGGGCGCACAGCGTTTTCATTATGTATGCACAACACGAATCCTACCAGGACCCCAATCGGAAGCTGATTCCAACATCTGTCACAGCCATTTGTGGCAAGCAAAGAGCCCACAGTGGCTTTTGTCAGTCCGGCTGGGTTTCCTGTTGTCTGTGGCTACATTCACAGAGGCATTAGATCAAAGCCATTGGTGCCAGGGGAGGGGGACCTCCTGAGGGTGAGCTCAAAAGTAAGTGGGGGGGGGGCTGGTACAATGAATGTGTGGTAGTTTAAATGTAATGGGCCCCCATAGGGAGTGACACTTAGGAGGTGTGGCCTTGCTGGTGGAAATGTGTCACTGTAGGGTGGGCTTTGAGATTTCCTATGCTCAGGCTACCAGCCAGCATCTCAGCTGATTTTTTGTTGCCTTCTGAAGATGTAGGCAGCACTGTGTCTGCCTACACACCACCATGCTCCCCACCATGATAATTATGGAATAAACCTCTGGAACTATAAGTCAGTCCCAATTAAATGTTTTCCTTTTAAGAGCTGCTGTGGTCATGGTGTCTCTTACAGCAACAGAAACCCTAAGTAAGACAGTATGTAAAGGTGGAGGGCACTGATTCTACAAGTTGTCCTTTGTGCTCCCCACAATCACACACACACACACACACACACACACACAGAGTGAGTGGAGGATGCTGTTGTGCTCTGAGTACCTGGCTTACTGTTTTTCTTGCAACAACAGAAGACACAGTTTTAGAAACACATTAATTCCTGATGAAAACTTCTGCTGTCATTGTGGGTTAAGAACTCCCTGGCCTTGAATCCCCCACCCTCACTGAGAAAACTGTGTTGTTAATGTGTTTAAAGCATGGTCTTCAGGAACTGAACTGGACAAAATACAGAATAGGCTTGTACTTGAGTCTCCCTCTTTTCACACACACATACGAACTTCATGTATGCACCTGTCTGTACACAAATACATACACACACATATGCAATTTAAAAAATAAAAGGATACACATATAATCTTGTATTTTGTATTCTTTACTCACTAGTGTAAGTATTTTCTGGTACATTAATATTCCTTAAAATGATTTTTAATATATCCCATTATATGGTTTTTGTATAATAAAAAGCTGCAGTAAACAACACAGCACAGGGCTCTGCCCATACCTCTTTTTTCATACATAAGTTTTAGAACGGGAATGAGCTTGTTGAGGTTTTCATGAATATTACCTAGAGCACATATAAATCCTCAAGACGATGCCCAGCACACGGCAGGCATCTAATAACCAGAAGCTATAAATAGGAAATCAAGTAGCCAGGAGAACAGATGAACTGGGCTCCAGCTGAGGGCTAGTGAAGGGGTGTGTACCACCTCACCAGGCATGAATGCAGCGGGGAGGTCTGGGCTCAGGGAGGGGTTGCTTTGTCCCCAGCAGCAGCTGGATCTCCAATAGCTGGAATGAAATGGCTCTGTACTTAGAACCAAACACAGCAAGGCCACCTCACGGCCACCCCCAGGCGGGCCCTTCCTTCCTTCCTTCCTTCCTTCCTTCCTTCCTTCCTTCCTTCCTTCCTGTTGGTCCTTTTAGGTCCTCTGATATTGATTCCAGTCTTCATTCAGAGCCCCAGGCCCCTGGAAACTCTGATCAGAGGACAAACAACATAAACAAGTGTTCTCAAAGATTAGTTATTAGCTCTTCTCACTTGGGGCGAAAGAAAATTTAAAAGTTAAGGGAATTGAAAGAAAACATGAGAACCTCACATTTCTTGTCTGAGGACATGAGCTGGACATGGGCATGGCCTGTGGAGGCTTCATGTGGGTAGCTGACTTACAGAGCCTTCACAAGCACAAATACAGAAATGGTGCCCTCTTCTAGGAAGGGGGAGGGTCTGGCATGGCGCCACAGGAAAGTATGGGCCTGTCTGTTTTCCACACCAGAGACCACAGTGAGCCCACAGGCCAGCCTTCTGCAAGCCTACCCACTTGCATTAGTGAACTGTTAGGCTGCTCCCTGGAGGAAATCTCCCTTGTTCAGGCAATTCTAGTGCATGCCTCAGCATGGCCAACCTCTGTTCTTTGATGGCAGATTTGATTCCTTAGTGCAGTCAGGTCATCGGAGCAGGGGATGGATGGGAATGGGCTCTGGGATACATCGGGGAGATAGGAGCTGTGGATGCTACAATAGGGGTTATTCTGTGTCCCCTAGCTGGCCCAAGCGGCTTCACCTAAAAAGATGTGCACTTGAAGTCTGCACCAAGCAACATGGACATCTGGGAAGGAGGAGCAAAGCCTCCTGAGAAAGGATGTGGGACTGTGGCATTCCTTTGGAGGCTGCTTGTTAGAGCCCTGACTCACTCACTCAGGGCTCTTTGGGGCTACAGCAGCACAGCTCGGTCCTCACAAACAGAAGCCTGTCAGTCTAAAGTAAACACTTATTTGGTCTAGCAAAAGCCAGCTCTTTGAAAGGGGTTTGAGTCCATGTAGACAAGAGAATCTGTCCTTCTGTATCTTTGACCACCTACTGGAAGACATCTGTCTGTCCTTCAGGATGCCCTGAAGGGAAACAGCCCGAGCTCCAGCAGGGCTCAGTTAAGCTTCTTTGGATGGCCACTGGACAGGGACTGGCTAGCTGGAAGGCCTGTAGCACCTGGATCCCAAGAGCATCCTTCCCCAGGCCCGGGAGCCCCAGAAGCAGAGTGGGCGAGCGGGTGCCTAGTCCTCCGGGATAGGGGTGTTGCAGTTCCCGTGGTAGATCTTGACATGGCCCTCACAGTGAAAGTATGCCTGGAAGACATCGCTGTAGCCATGGTCCCTCCACCAGGTGCACAACTGCCGGTTCCAGGTGCAGTCCAGCACATGGAAGAGCTCGGGGTGTTCCATGCCGATCATGGTGAAGAAGTCCTGGTCCCCAAGGTGGCCCCGGAAGCGGTACTTGTCTGCAAGCTGCTGTACCCATGCAGGCTCCAGCAGATGGCTGTAGAGTGGAGACTGGCGCATGGCCTCCAGGTTCAGCAGCATGACTCCACTGTTGAAGCCAGGAAGGCCCTCAGGTGGAGGGTCCCCAACTCTGGTCTTGGGGTTCTCATGGCGGAACTGCCAGAATGTGTGCCTGTGAAGGGGAGAAAAAAAAATCAGTATTATCCCAGTTTGGGGTGAATGAGCTTGCCAGACCTGCTTCCTGGGTGTTCACATGACCACTTTTCCTTCCGTTTCACAGGGACAAAAGTAGAGGCATTCGGGGCCCAGCATCTGCACCACATCGCCAGCGGGCAGCATAGCAAGAGCCTGAATCCATCCCCCACCACGACCTGCTCTAAGTCTCAGGCTCTTCTCATATCCTCCACCGCCTCAGGAGGACATGATGATGAGGTCATCATGTCACTGCATTATGTTAGGATCTGTGGAGATGGCAGATACTGGATGGCATGCTGGATGGGGGCTGCTCCTTCTCCAAGTGTTATGCTCCGTGAGATGACCCCTGCCCACACAGCTAGTAAGAAGCAGAGAATAAAGCTAGGTCTTTGGCTTAGAGTTCACATCCTTCAGATGACAGCAGAGTGATAGGATTCCCACCCTGTCGTTATGGTGGAGAGGAGAGGAGAGTACACAAGGGGAAGAGACTCTGAATGATGGTGACGTCATAGACAGGAAACCGAGACTGAACCAGACATGTTTTCTGCTTTAGAACAAGTTTCATTCATGACCTAAGCCTAGCATTTCTGAGGGGCTGGGTAGAAGCTGGGGTCCAGAGATGATAGCTTAAGGCATATATCCACAAGTCAGGGTGAAAAACAGCTGTATGGAGCCATGTAGAACTATGGAATTTAGGAGGGGATGCCACCTCAATTTTTGTCTTTTTCTGGCAGATTCAGAAAATGACACTTCTTGACCTTGTATCCAAATACTTACATTTGGAGGTGGGAAATCTTCCTGTGATTGACATGTTGAGAGCTCTGGTCACTGTTTTCTAGACTTTTTAAGTTCTTGTGCGCTACAGTGATGGGGGCATGGGGATCCCCAAACCTGTACGCACAGACAAGACCCAGCAGCAGCACCTGGGATGGGCAGGGCTAGCCTGGGTCTTCAGGGTGGGGAATGCATCATGGCATGCAGCCTAGAAATGCATCATACTGTTCACAGGATATGACATGCAAGTTGTTGTCAAAAGCAAACCATAGCCCCAGCATGCAAGACCTGCAGCAGGTCCACTCTCCAGTTCAAACACATGACCCCAGTAAGGGGACAGACAAGCCTTCTTTGTGGTCTCGCATGTCAGAAAGACAGCCGACAGTTTGATCTGGGGACGGGAAAAGTGTGCCCTTGGGACACCGACCAGTGAGCACACAGGCTCACTGTTAGCGTCTGGTCAGGAATGGGCTGTGAGGTGAGTGGGGATCTGGCTCTGACCTGGCACTTGCCTGCTGATAACAGCCTTGGAAAGATAAGCTCCGAGAGCAAGCTGAGATGCTGAGGTCCTCCTGGCCACAGAGCCTGCCAGGATGGGACCATCAGCACGTCAACACTTCATCATTTTACCTTAGCACCAAGTGGTTACTCTCAGGGTCAGGTTACAACCTAGCTACAATTCTGCTAGACAGGCCTGGGTCAACACAGTGATCCCAGGTAAAGGAGGGACCCTCCAGGGAGTGGACGCTGCACCATCCAGGTACTGGGTTCCTCTTCCAATAGTGGGGATGGGGCATTTAGCAAGGAGGAAGAGAGAGAGCCAGAAAGGAGGGAAGAGAGCTATGGAGAGCTCATCTCTGCTCCATCCTGCCCACTGCTTCCTTCCCTCCCTTGTAGAAGACCCGGAAGAGATCAGGGGCTAGCTGGAGGGACAGGATCCTCGGGTACTTCTACCTCATGCAGGCTTCCCAGATGACAGGTCCTTGGGAAGGGTAAGGTGGCCAAGAAAGGCGTAGGAAAAAGGTAAGAGTGAGTCTGTGTAGCCTTTGGTGTTGGTGGGAGCAGGAAGCCAGCCAAGGCAAGGATACTGAGTCACTACCCTGGCACTACATACACCATGGATGGTGAGGAATATTACTTTTACTGCTTTTGTTTAGACTGCACTTGTTTCACTCTGTGAGGCTGTGATTCTTTGTCTGTCTGAAACACCTGATGGTCCTAATAAAGAGCTAAACAGCCAATAATAGTGAGGCAGGAGAAAGAATAGGCTGGAGGGCAGAGAGTATAAACAGAAGGAAAAATCTAGAAGAGAAGAAACAGCGAGAGAACAAGGAGAAGAGCCCATCAGTCAGGGGCTGGCCACGCAGCCAGCCAGAGAGTAAGAGTGAAGTATACACAGAAGTAAGAATAAGAAAAAGCCCAGGGGCAAAATGTAGTCGGGGATAATTTAAGTTAAGGGAAGCTGGCTAGAAATAAGTCAAGCTAAGGCCAGACATTTCTAACCAAGAATAAGCCTCTGTGTGTGACTCATCTGGGAGCTGGGAGGTGGGCTCTTCAAAAAGACAAAAGAGCAAAAACATCCCAACAGTGGACAAGGGCTCAGATGCATTGAAAGGGCTTTACCCTTCAGCAAGGAGTTCACAGCTGGAGCTTGGGGGCTCCTCAGATCTTCCCTTTCTGAACCAAGAGTAGCCAAAAGGAGGCCTGGCCCCTACCTTGCTAGGCTTGGGAGAGGAGACAGAACATCTCCAGGTGGAAACTCTAACCCTGGTGGCTCCTGGACCGCCATGGCCAGTGCTGTACCAGGCAGCACACAGAGGCTTTCTGTAACCAAGAGCGCTTACACAGAAGCTGGTGGCGCCAGCTCTCCTCACCTGCCACAAAGGTCGGGTTAGGGGTAGATTGCATGGCCCTCTCACATTCTCCCTAGGACACTGCAGTCTTTGGTCAGCTAGGCAGGGCTTCTGATCATTGTGGCCCGTTTATCTCTGACTGCCTCAGATTCCACAGGCTAATGTTCCGACGAGCAGCACCTGAATGTCAAACTCATTTCTGAGCCTGACCGACACTCAAGGCCAAGGAGGACATACAGCATTGCTGTCATGTGACTGGCCAGAGGGCAGACCTGAGAGCCCCCTGAACCTGGTCAGTATACATCCCCAAACCTGCCCTTTCTTCACAGGGGCTGGGGGCTGGCTTTGTATGTCCACAGATCTCCTGTAGGTATGCAGGTATGTGGCTCTGGGTCCTGATCTTCCAGAAGTTTCTCAGATCGACTGTCCATTCTCACACCTGTCCACTCTTCCCTGTGTGGCTTCGTTGAATCCCATAATCACCCGGTGCCATAACAGCAGGATAAGGTTCTCCTCTTTGGGAATAGTTTTCAGTTGGGAAACAAGCCTTACACAGGCGGCTCACTATAAACAAGAGTCCTTCCAGAAGACGGTGGAGCCTGCTGGAAAAATACAAATGAAGTCCCTTCAAGTCCTTTCTTCTGGATGGTACATTCCTGGAAGGGGCTGGGTAGAAAAAGCCAAGCCCTTGCATGGGGCACAGGAGGAAAGGAAGCAGGTGGGAGGTACATGCCTGACCTTGTCGGAAATGTGGGTTTGGCTGTCAACACCAGCTTGGTTTGCAGGTCAGTAACTGAGCTGACAAACTCCATACTCCCAACATGGGAGACGGCATGGGGCTAGGCAGGGCCCTCAGCTTCTCAGGTTAAGGGCCCCTGGGTATAGGTGGGCCAGTCTTCAGTAGTGGAACCAGGCTGCCTGCCAGAGAGGAGAGGACTCCAGTGGAACAGAGATCCAGTAGATCCTGCAAGAGACCCACTTCAGAGGCCCTGATCCATTCCTGCTGGCGTCCCTGAAGGTATAGCCTCCACTGAGCCTCTCCCAGCTAGGTCCTTGAAGCTATGGCCATCCCTCAGGAGGTGTGGAGACCCCACCAAGCTGCAGGCTTCATGTCATGGCACCTGGGAGCAGATTTGTCAACCTGTGTCTATCTGCCTGGGCATCATCCCCATACCAAGGCTTTTCTCCCACCCCTGCTGTCCTGGAGCCATGAAAACAGTGCGCAGGGTTAGGAAATGTCCATCGCTCCATCCCACAAACAACTATAGGGAACAGATGGGCTAGATTCTGGGAGAGCTGCACGGGGAGGACCTGGAAAAGGGGAAGGGCAAGTCAGGTACCACAAGGAGGTGCCAAGGGCAGCAGTGCAGGCTGGGAGGTGTTGAAATAGGAGCGGCGGAGCTGCGTCCCCGGCACCCGGCCGCCCACATGGCTAGCTCTAGATTATGCCCCGAAATAATTACATGGAAAACTGTATTCTTTTAAACACTGCTTGGCCCATTATATCTAGCCTTTTCTCGGCTAACTCTCGCACCTGGACTAGCCCATTTCTTATAATCTGTGTAGCCCACGAGCTGGCTTACCAGGAATGATCTTAACCTGTGTCTGCCTGGAGTGGAAGAATCATGGCAACTCACTGACTCAGCTTCTTTCTCCCAGCATTCTGTTCTGTTTACTCCTCCCACCTATGTTTTAACCTATGAGGGCCAAGCAGTTTCTTTATTGCTTAACCAATGAAATCAACAGATTGATATATGACACTCCCACATCAGGGAGGGGTAGATATATGAGAAGAGGAACAAAGAAATAGAAAAGTCCAGCAGATGCCTGGGCATGTGGGCTAAAGGTACCCAGGCGTCTGCAGAGTTCAGTCAGTGGATGGAAGAAATGGAGTCAGGAAGATGGCTGGCCTAGGAGAACCCAGCCACCTGTCCTCCACACTGAAGCCCAAGCAGCTGACACTAACTCAGGCCTTGGGGTCCTTTCTCTCCTGTAGAGCTCTCAGAGGAGCCACGGGGCCATCCAGACCATCTAGCTGGGTCAGCAGGCCCCACAGTACCCAGTCCGGGTGTCTCTGGCTTTCCTCCCACCTCCTCTCCCCACGCAGACAGGTCTTTCTCTAGGTTTATCTCCCCATGCGGTGCCCTTCACACTCAAGCCACTGACATTAGCTCTCATCTGTTTAATTAAAGGAGGTCTACATGCTCACAGTCGTAGAGACGCAAAGTCTCGGGGCTGTTATTCTGAGTCTGAAATGTCCCTTCCAGTCTCATGTGCTTGCACCCTTGGTGCTGTTCTGCATGGCTCTGCGACCTTTAGGGTCTAAGGCCTGGAGAGAGGAAATGGGCCC